TTATACATATATAAGGAAAGAAGGGAGAAGGAAACATAATATAATACATATATATATTTAATATATATTTGGGAGAAGGAAACATAATATAATACATATATATAATATTCTCCAGTAAACTCGAGATGGGTTTCTAGAAGTTAACTTGAGTTTGGAGATGAAATCTTGAAAATGGTAAAGTGAAAAACATCCAAAAGGCCGGAACAATGCCGGAAAAATGGGTCATAACAAAGTCAAGAAATGGGCCGGATCAACACTGGGAGACATCCGGATAATCCATTGGAGAAATGAAAAAGATCCGGAATAAAGCCGATAAAAGGCCAGAACAAAGCCGGGGAAGTGGTCGAAACAAAGCTGGGAAATAGTTGGAGCAACGCCGGGAAATAGTCGGAACAACGCTTCGGAGCGTTGACTACCGTCGGTGAAGGAGTGCGTGGGTGCGTGTAACGTGAGTGAGATCTACTCGCAAGAGTGTCGGCGCGTGACAGTGCGGGACGTCGCTTGGAAGCGCGTAGTTAATTAAAAAAGAAAAAATAAATAAAGAGAAATCTGAACAAAAAATGGATCAGATGTCTCTGCAATCAATAAAGGAAAGGGAAAAAAAAACAAACAAACAATCTATCAGGATCGTTGCTCTGATACCATGTTAGCTTTAATACTATGTTAACTTTATGATGCGGAAATAAAAGATGTAAAATAGGAAGATGTAATAACATGGTTTGGAACTAAAGCCTACATCCATGGATCAAGAGCCACTGAAGCTACATTTCTCTTATTGCTTGTATTTCTTGATATGTTTACATTGTATTGGTACACAATATATAGTAAATAAAGTTGACAAAAGGAATAAATTAAGTAGGAAAGAAAAGAAACAAAATATAATATATATGTATAATATATATAATACATTATACACATACATACATACATATATATATATATATATTGTTTCCTTCTCCCTTCTTTCATATATATGTTTCCTTCTCCCTATATATATATATAATGAAAGAAGGGAGAAGGAAACAAAATATAATATATATATATATATATATATATATATATATATATATATATATATATATTTCAATAGTTTATTGAAAAACATATGGAATAGAAAATAAATGAAGGGTAGTTCGTAGATTGGCTTTTGTGTGTTGTGTTTTTTTAATTTTTCTTATTTTCCAATATATATATATATATATATATATATATATATAAATGAAAGCAATTTTTATAATTCAAATAGAAAAGATAAGAATAAATAACAATAAGACGAAATACATACCAACTCTATTGTCATTTCAGTGTCTTTTTGTCACCTCTTATACAAATAATATTGGAAGGGTTAAGAATCATTTTTCTTTTTCTCAATTTATTTTCATATCTATAAAAAAAACATATAGAACAGATTTATCTTTTTTGTTATTTTTATTTTCACCTAGTCAAATACATTTCTGCATTTGGCTGCATGGAATTGTAGTGATATTGGGATTGATATAATTGAAAAAATTTTGATTCAATTTTCTTAGTTATTTTTTTCAAATTTTACCAATTCTAATTCCAAAACACCAATTCTAAGCAGCGGAATATAACATCAAATGCATTTTTAAAGATGTTTAATTGGATTTTGAATCTTATGAAGCTAAAAAGAAAAAAAACCAGACTAAAATTTGGATCCTACCATAGATACCGTTCATTAGAATTTTTATTTTTATTTATTTTTTATTATTTATTTATTTTTTAAATTGTAAACTATTTGATATCTCTTATTATTATTATTTTTTTTTCCTTAGAGCACGGGTAAATACATGCGTCATTCAAGTCAGGAGTGCGGTTCGAGATTGAAATCTCAAGACTTACCTTTTCGATCCCTGCCAACGCCATTATACCACTATGAACAATATTGTTCTAATTTTACAAGACACATTTATTGACATTTTAATAACATCATACCAAAAGGTCATTGATACGGTGTTGGTATAATTTTTGAAATCATAAATACGTCAATGTAATTTACCCTTTAAAAAATCAATGTTCTCTAAAACTCTTTTTTCCAATATATATATATATATATATATATATATATATATATATTGTTCTTTCAATATATAAAACTAGGGAAAAAATCACATAATTTCCATGTACTATCATTTTCATTCAAAAAAACCTCTTACTAAAATTAAACACTCCCTTAAACTAACAAAATCCATCAAGTTGCCCCCAAATGACAAAACTGCCCCTATAAGTTAATGGTTAAATTTAAAACTTATAATATTATTATAAAATTACAAAACTACCCCTCAGTCTCCATCCTCAAAATAATGGGTGATGCCGCGTCTTCAGCTTATTCATTATGAACAATTACAAATGCCTGTAACTTCAAAATTTTACCGAAACAATTCATAGTACTAGACAACAAACGCGCAAACAATGGAAGAGTTCACAGAAAATGATTTTCCATATATATCAACCTACAAATACAAGATTTAATGTTTCTTCATGATTTTCCTGATTTGAGCTTCTTCATGTTTCCGACGATGATCGACGGACCACTGGCGTTTACAGTCACGCCGGAGACGGTTAAATCAGTGAGGTTCGGCATCCGGCCGAGCCAGACTTCGGTGAGCTTCTTGAGGCTGTTGATGCAGGTGAAGGAGTGGGGATTGGAGGTGAGTTTGGAGGGGAAATGAATGGGTGAAATGGGGTAGTTGATGAACGCGAGATTGGTCAGGGTGGAGAGAGATTTGAGGGCGGTGATAGACATTTCGAGATCGTCAGAGCAGTTGGAGAGGCGGAGGGATAGGAGGTGGCGGAATGGCTTGGAGGCATCGCTGGCGGTGGCGGTGTGGAAGGAGGGTTGAATTCAGGGTTCTTTGCAGATAGGGTGTTTTTTTTAGTATTTTTTTTTTGGGTTGTGTTGTGCATTCCAAAGGAGTATATGAAGCACAATCACAGTCCAATAAGCCGCTCTTCTTCATTCGAATCCCAGTACTCTGAAATCGTCAAGAAAAACAATATTCCACAAAAGGAGCTAATTCCAATTGAAAATTCACAAGAGATCATTGTTGTTCCTGAGAGAGAATCCCCATAATTAAATGGCAAATTTTGATTATATATATATATATATATATATATATATATATTTGTTTTTGCAATTTGTTATTGTCTATATGCATTTATGAGGTTGGTCTGATTTTGGATTTTTTCATATCAGGTTTATCAGCAATCTATTGCTATATGACACATAAGCTCAAGACTTTCACCATTTCATAAGTCAATTCATTTCCCTAATATCCTTAATACGTCACCCCTGTGCATGGTTGGTTTCCAGATTCTATGGATTTTGCCGGAGCACCCCGCGCCGGTGACCGCTTCATGGACTTGTTTGTGTCTTTGAGAGCTGTAACCAAGCCTTTGTTCAAAGAGTTGCTGACTTTCGGTCAATTGAGCTCCGATTCATGGCGCCAGAGACGTGTTTCATCGCTGATGAAATTCTAAGCTTTACTCTTGAGGCTTTTGCAACGTGGGTGTGTTAAGGATGAAGGGTGGTTTGTAATTTTACAATAATATTATAAGTGTTAAATTTAAGAATTAACTTATAAGGACAGTTTTGTCATTTTATACCGATTTGGGGGCAACTTAACGAGTTTTGTTAGTTCAAGAAGGTGTTTAATTTTAATGGAAATTTTTTGAACAAAAATAATAGTACACGAGTTATGTGATTTTTTCCCGTAAAACTATTACTCCAAAATGTCAGACATTTGTAGAACTCAGTTCAAGTGTCAAAGTGTAACGTACTAATTCAATGAAACAAACAAACAAAAATACATGAACAAAGTGGGAGAGTTTTTACCTTTTTTTTTAACAAGTTAGGCAATTTCCAAAAAGAAAATGACTTAATGGACACACAAAGTTTGCAACATATTCATAATCAGCGATTCACATTATATTTATTTATTTATTTATTTGGACTCCGAAATCTTGTATAGTAAGTTTGTAACTGAATTGGCTACGATAAAGGCGATGACCATAAAGACATATGAGCTGTGTCAGCTATCATTATATATAGAGAGAGAGGGGCAGAGAGCAAAAGTTATTTGAAGTTACATTTTGTCTCTGTGTTTCCTGATCCGCTAGGAGGTGTGAAACTGAAAAAAGGTGTATACACACCTAGTATATCTATATTTATATATATTGACATGCATTTAAGTTTTAACTAATATAAATATATGGTGAAGAAAGAGCAATAAAGTTGCTAAATGTGACGGTGGAGATGCTTTTGTAACTTTTTCTTTGCGTGATACCAGAAAAAGGAGTCTGAACTGTGTACACACAAAACCAAAATTATAAAACTACTAAGGGATTCTTTGGGTGGTCACAGAAAAATAGATTATTATTATTTTTTGTTATCTTTAAAAGTATTTTAGAATTCCCTTTTCTAAATCTGTATAGTTAAAAAGTATATATGATCAAAATTATTAGATGAGCCAGGATCACGTGATTCAAGTCAATCATAACATGTTATGTAATCAAAGAGTTAAATAAAGTTCTTACATTAATAGGTTGTAATCGGCCAAGTTAGCGTGTTCCTATTTAAGAATTTGACTAAATTTCTTTAACCAAATACTCTTTATTAATCCTTTATGTAAGAAATAAAGAAGTTGAGGGTCTCAATTCTTTATATTTACATATATTAACCAATTAAAATGCTTCGGTAAAAAAATTCTGTCAAACTCCACACTTTTAAAATCATTTTCCATAATTTATAAATTTTTAACATTTTTTTAAAAGAGCATATACTTTTTTATAGATCATCTGCCACATAATTCGAACCATCTAACAATGTATAGTCTTAAAATTTTTTTTTTTAAAGAATATAAATAATATTTAAAAAAAATATATCATCCGCCACATAATTCCAGAGTAACATTTTGGTTCTTCCTCACTTTTGGGTCTGCTTGCTTTTTCTTCTTTTTGCCACCTTAAAACTCACTTTGTGGCTCTTGTCTTTGGGTTTCATCAGGGGTTTGGGGCTGTAACACATTACCTAGTAGAGACGTCTTTGATCTTCCTTGTTTCTTCAATCAAATTCTCGGTGAACTTTACTGTTTAGTATTTGGCTTATATATAGTTTCATTAAATGCATTTGTAGTTTCACATTTTTCTTCCAATTTTAGCAGTATAGATGTACGTGTGCACACATAAATATACTATACTTTGTTTTGGGGATTCAGATATCTGAGTTTTAGTGAGAATATATATACACATACATATATATATATATATATATATATATATATATATATATATATATATATATACACACACTTTAGGGAGTTTTGATTGATAAATTTGAGTTTAATTTCTGGAGATTGGGTAGAAAAGAATCAGAAGAACAAAAAGAAGAGAGAGAGAGAGTCATGGCAAGTGGTGGAGGATCTGCACCACGGCCCAAACAGGACGAGTTGCAACCACATCCGGTGAAAGATCAGCTACCCAATGTTTCTTACTGCATCACCAGCCCCCCTCCTTGGCGTGAGTTCCCCTCATTCACCTATGTGTATTATGTGTGTGTGTGTGTGTGTATTATGTGTGTGTGCCTTTCTTTGTTTCCTTCATTTTTTATTTTTGTAACTTAAATGTGCTTTTTCTCTAACTATGAGTGTGCTTAGTTTGGTCCTGCTCTTGGATGGAACTGATTTTTTTTTTTTTTTTTTTTTTTTTTTTTTTTTTTTTTTTTTACTGTTTTATTTATATTGTTTTTACCCCAATTTTTTGGGGTCCCATTAGGCCCCATACTGTATTTGCAATGGTTCTCAGTGATTTATATGAACCTATTTTGTTTTCTCTGTCTTATGTGGAATGTCCATTTTGTTTTGCTGGTGATTTTGATAGAACCCTGTTTGGTACATACACCAAATTTATTTTTATTTTATTTTAATTATTTATTTATTTATTTATTTTTCCAAACCTTGTTTGCTACTCATTAGTAAATATGATTGTCGTGAACTTGGGGATTTTTTATTATTATTTTTTAATGCAGCTGAGGCTCTATTGCTTGGTTTCCAACACTATCTTGTGATGCTTGGCACAACAGTTTTCATTCCCTCCACCTTGGTTCCCCAAATGGGAGGAGGACATGTAAGCCCCTGGAAGGAATCTAGTAATTAAACAATATGCTTTGTATTTCTTTAATCAAGTTTCTATATAATTGGTTTTATTTCAAATTATACAAGTATTCAATCATTTTAATAGGGGAATTAATGAATGATTGTCCTTCTTAGGAGGAAAAAGCAAAGATGATTCAGACTATACTGTTTGTGGCTGGCGTAAACACATTTATTCAGACATTGTTTGGGACCCGATTACCTGCTGTGATTGGAGGGTCCTTTACCTTTGTGCCTACAACACTTTCAATTGTATTGGCCGGTCGATACAGTGACATTTTGGATCCCAAAGAGGTTTGATTGATGAACTCTCTGTCTATTGCATCTGCGTCAATTTGATCCCCATTTTTGTGATGTTTATGTAGAAATTTGAGAGGATAATGCGGGGAATCCAGGGAGCCCTTATTGTTGCTTCAGCTCTTCAGATTGTCCTCGGTTTTAGTGGCCTTTGGCGTAATGTCACAAGGTTAGTTAAAACCTTGTTAAATGGAAAGTATTAAAACTTGCAGAATTTATGCATTTCCCTGCAGGTGGTTAACAAAACAATTGAGATCCAATGCCAACATTTTCATCGTGGTTTCTTAGAATTTGTGAAGCTTTCGAGAGACATGTTAATTGATTTTATGCCATTTTTACATGTTTAGGTTCTTGAGTCCACTATCTTGTGTACCTTTGGTAGCTCTAACAGGATTTGGGCTCTATGAGTTTGGTTTTCCTCTGGTATGTTTTTATCTGGTTTGTGGGATGAACGGAAACATGCAGGAATTTCTCTACTTCTCTCACATTGTAATTATAATTTTTTTCTTTCAATATTGGCTATTGACTGTTCCATTGGATGTCTAGGTTGCAAGATGCGTCGAGGTTGGACTGCCGCAGCTCTTCTTACTTGTTATTTTTTCACAGGTAATGCTCAGTTGTATATAAATTCTATTTCCTTGTGATGGTCATCGATTTGTATATTTTTTTATTTATCAAAATCTTCAAATTTTTAGTGGATTAGCATTCAGTCTTATCAGCATTTCTCATCTTAATGTTTTGTGCAGTATATACCCCATCTAATGAGCGGGCAGAGGCATGTCTTTCACCGATTTGCTGTTATTTTTTCGGTGGTGATTGTTTGGATTTATGCTCATCTACTCACTATAGGTGGAGCATATAAGAACACGTCATCAATAACTCAAGCAAGCTGCCGAACAGATCGTTCTGGACTTATTGGTGCTTCTCCATGGTAAGGCTAATTCTTTTCCTTCTAACTGATATGCATACATATATATATATCTATGGTATATATGTGCTAAAATCATGCTAGTCTATGCAAGAAGCTAGTGCTAATGACTCTTGTGAATGCAAGGCTTAGCTGTTCTCCTTAGATCTTTAGAACGGGTGTTATTTTTTTTATTGATTACTGTTACTTAGTGTTGTAGTTCATGTGTGCAGGATTAGAGTCCCCTATCCATTTCAATGGGGAGCTCCTACATTTCATGCTGGAGAAGCTTTTGCAATGATGGCTGTTTCATTTGTTGCCCTTGTCGAGGTATTGCAATGGCATTTGGATTGTATCTTCGAGTCACTTTATATTGTCGTCTCCTATTATAGCAGCAAAAGTTATGTTGCCTTGTGAACAGGCACATTGTTGTAAATTCTTTAGAATAATTACTTTGTAATACCTTTTCCCTCTTGTCATAGGCACATACGAAACTCTTTTACCCCCATGTTGAATATATATTATATCTCCATTCAGTTTTCGCGTTCCTTAATTGTTCTCCAAGTAGATTTCACATTAGCTAGTTCAGTGGTAGTTCTTTGCTAGAATAATCTCATCATGGTGATTTTACTGGCTTCGGTATGGATAATTTGATGTTTTTCCTCTTCAAAGTTGGCATTTCCATCATGCTTAGCCACAGAAATTTACTGAATACTTGCATTGCTTTTACTTTGTCTACAGTCTACTGGTGCCTTCTTTGCGGTGTCAAGGTATGCCAGTGCTACTCCTTTGCCACCTTCTATTCTCAGCCGTGGAGTTGGTTGGCAGGTAAACCGGACATAGGAATTGCTTTCTCTACATGTATGACTTCATTAGCACATTAACCACTCACTACATTGCTTAAAGCCTCAAAGGAAACAAGAAAAAGTAAAATAAGAAATCTTTACATGAATTGCTTTCTCTATATTTATGCCTTGTACATGTAAAATGTCGCCGAATTTGTCACTTTGGTTTGTACTTGGGCTATACAGTTATCAATTTGGATTGTATGTCCTACTTAACATGGTTTAATCTCTTTCCCTTACTGAAAAGAATGGTAAAAACATAATTTTTATACAATAATTCCCATCCACAGTCACATGCATTGGGCTTTAAAAAATTATAGACAGTTAACTATGTTTCCATGTTATTCTGTTTGTGATTTTTTAGTTATAAATTTCGCTCGTCAAGAACTTCTCTAAAATTTAAATTGGCTAATTGTTAACATCCTGTGGGTTCTAACAATTTTTTGTTTTTCCTATTAACAAGGGTGTGGGCATATTAATCTCTGGAGTATTTGGAACCGGGAATGGATCGTCAGTGTCTGTGTAAGTTTCTTGGGCAATAAATCATGTACCTAGAATCAAAAAATTATGTTGCAAAATTTCATATCTTAATTAGCATGTGACCTTTTCTTCGTATGTGTTTTATTCTACAGTGAAAATGCTGGTTTGCTAGCCGTGACATGCGTTGGCAGCCGAAGAGTTGTGCAGATATCTGCTGGATTTATGATATTCTTTTCCATACTTGGTAAGTAATTTACAAGTTGTGTTGTCCAAGGCCTGCAAATAATTCTCATTTGTTTCTTGAACACAAATGGCTATTCAGGGAAATTCGGAGCTATCTTTGCTTCAATTCCAGCGCCAATCATTGCAGCTTTGTATTGCATTTTCTTTGCTTATGTGGGTATGTTACAAACTGCAGTAGGCACTTTTCCTTCTTTTTAATCATGAAGCAATTGATATTGAATCAAATTTTAAAATAAATAATGTACGAGCAGGTTCGGCAGGTCTCGGTTACCTCCAGTTTTGCAATTTAAATAGGTTCAGAACAAAGTTTATATTGGGGTTCTCATTTTTCATGGGCTTATCAATACCACAGTATTTCAATGAGTACACAGTAGTTAACGGTTATGGTCCTATCCATACCCGAGCAAGATGGGTATGCAACTACCTTTGTCCTCTTTCTACATTTAAATCAGCTTCTTGAATTACCTTCTTTGTTTTGGCCCCTAAGATTAGGATTTTCTTATTTGCAGTTCAATGATATGATCAATGTGCCATTCTCATCGGAAGCATTTGTTGCCGGCTTTTTGGCGCTGTTCCTAGACGTCACACTGCATCGCAAAGACAGTGAAATTCAGAAGGACAGGGGCCTGCATTGGTGGGACAAGTTCCGGACATACAAGACGGATACACGGAGTGAAGAGTTCTATTCCCTGCCCTTCAATCTCAACAAGTTTTTCCCATCAGTTTGATTCTAGGGTTACGGTTCTGAGACAATGTGATCAAGGCATGCTCCCTCAAGAATAGCTCATTGTCGTCAAAATTTCATATCCTTTTAAAAGGCAATAGTTAAAATGTCTTCTTTTTGAAAGCATTCTGTTGAGAAGTCTTCTCCTTTTTATATCCATATGTCAAACTGGTGAAGTATAGCATGATGGTATTACTTATTTCATTAAACAGATGCTACAAAATTCCTTGAGTTGTGTGTGTGGGGGGAGACTTTTTAGGGCAAATGTAGAGTTCATCATTTCAATCTACTACACTGATTATCATACCATGCATGCACACACATTTTGGAATATAGTGGGTTGTGATTGGGCTAGCAAAGGGCACAAGGTTTCTGTCATTGTGTGCTCTCGGGATTGTTAGCTGTACGGCATCTTTATCTCATACAGATGCTGTTTCCGATTTCGAATTCGTGAACTCTAGGTCACAATTGAACAATCTTATCCTTGTGCCAAGGCCCACCCTCACACAGTGGGTTGTGATAGGTTCTACTAAATTGAGCTACATGGGGTTGGATGCTGTGCATAGTTTTACAGCCCTAATTTGCTTTCTTGTTTGGAGGCTTAATTAGTTTAGTGCATTTATGCAATCTTTTCAGTACAAAGCTTACCAAAAACAAAAAATAACCATTAGGCAGTAATGTTTGTCAATCACAATCATGCAATATTTATATTTGTATTTTCTCTCCTGAGATATTTATACATCTACATATTATATAAGCCTACTCATTGCTATAATCTATATGAACAATCATTTAAATTTAATTTCGGAATAAATTACTCCAACCTCCTCTGAGTTTCATTTTATTACCCACGCATTAATCCTCCACATGTATGAGGAGACTTTCACTTCTACTTTATTGACTCTTTTTGTTGGTGGAAATGAGTGAGAGAGGTCTAAGTGAAAGTTAATTTTTTTATTTTTATTTTTCCTCGCAAACAAACAATCACTACAAAACATTAACAACATTGCACCAAACATTAAAATTAGAGCACGAGAATGAAAAGGAACATACACAGACGCAACATCACACCAAATATGGGCGTTGGATAGTGTTGTCCCAAACTCTTCGCCGGACAGTGAGTTTCGCCAACTCGTACCATTCCGAGGGTAGAACAAGATTGGACTGACAGAGAGAATGTTCGGTGATTCAGGTAAAAATTGGGTGACGCTTTCAAAGTTTAGATCCCCTTCCTAACCTGCACATGTATTCAATCAAATTGTACATTTATATAAAATTTCTTAATTTATTCAAAATAATAATAATTGATAGTAGCTTAACATATGATACAAGGTTTAGGCACATTTGAGACTCGAAGGAAATTGAGAAAATGCATATAAGGAGAGAGTAATGATGTATGTGACGTATGTCAGTATGTGTTGGAGAGTTTATTTATTTATTTATTATTATTATTATTATTTTTACGAAAATAACTCCGTATAGAGTGGACCCACACTGTTTGTGGGAACCATACCTCATATTTAGTAATTTCACACTTCATCTGCCTTTTTTTTTTTTTTATTTTTTATTTTTTAAATGGACTCTTAAATCTTGTACAGTAAGTTTTTAACTGATTTGGCTACAATAAAGCGAATGGATCATAAAGACACATGAGATTTTTTTTTTTTTTTTTCTTCACCAAACTAACTGACTAAACCATAAAAGAAGGAGAACTACTGGGGAAGATCCTAAACAATTGATCAGAAGAGAACAAATATCCTTAAAAACAATCAACTGGCCTTCCACAGAAACCTGCAGCTTCATAACAGATTTACACTCCCCTTCGACCACCACATCCTTATAGCCTTGGACATCATTGAACCCTTCAGAGAGCTAACTTTAGCCGAGAGTTTATCAGAGAGGAAATGGAGAGCCATCACCTTAGACCGGCCCAAGAAGGAGGGTAAACCAAGATAATTATTATGCCAGTCCACATTGTGAATACCTAACAACTGCCTGCAAATCTCCTTCTGGGAAGAGGGAGTATTATGAGAGAAAAATAAACAAGATTTATCCAAGTTAACCATTTGGCCCGTCAAAGCTGCATATCTATCAAGAATAATTTTGATCCATTGCACCTCAACATCTCTGGCCCAACAAAACATGAAAGCATTATCCGCAAACAAAAGATAAGATATCAAAGGGCAGCCCCTTCCAACCTTGAGACAAAGGCATTGAGAAAGACGACCGGAGTCATTAAACAAAAGGCAGAGGCCTTCAGAACAGAAGAGAAAAAGAAAAGGGGACAACGGATCCCCCTGCCGCAGACCTCTGGATGGAATAAAATTTTCTCCCCTTTCACCGTTGATCAAGATAGAATACGAAACTGAGCTGATACATTCCATCATTAAATTTACCCATCACAGAGCAAACCCCAAGTGCTGTAAAAACTTGCTAAGAAAAGCCCAGCTCACCAAGTCATAAGCCTTGGCCATGTCCAACTTAAGGGCCATGAATCTTAAGGCACCATTTGTTTTGGATTTCAGGACATGCAGAAGGTCGTGAGCAACAATGACGTTATCATGGATGAGACGGTTAGGCACGAAGGCACTTTGGTTCTCACTAACAAGAACATGGAGCAAAGGTTTGAGTCTATTTGCAAGGACTTTAGAAAAGAGCTTATAAGCCGCATTGCATAAAGATATAGGTCTGAAATTAGACATAGTGGTGGGATGGGAAACCTTAGCGTAATACTCTTAATTTTAAAAGGATAGTCTCGGTATTTACTCAATGGATGTGAAATGTCTTTTTTGGATGTCAAATGTCTTTTTTGGATATTATAAGCTTTGATTCACTATATATATATATATATACACGTACATGTGCATGCTACAAAATATGATACTGCAATATTATTGTCAAATTTGCATATATATATATATATATTAGACATAGTGGTGGGATGGGAAACCTTAGCGTAATACTCTTAATTTTAAAAGGATAGTCTCGGTATTTACTCAATGGATGTGAAATGTCTTTTTTGGATGTCAAATGTCTTTTTTGGATATTATAAGCTCTGATTCACTATATATATATATATATATATATATATATATATATATATACGTACATGTGCATGCTACAAAATATGATACTGCAATATTATTGTCAAATTTGCATATACATATATATATATATATATATGTATATGCAAATTTGACAATAATATTGCAGTATCATATTTTGTAGCATGCACATGTACGCTTCCCGTGAAAACTGATTTAGTTTTTTTGTGTGCTTATATATTTTTAATATGTTTTGATCTATTCTTGGCGCATTATTGTATAAGTGCAATCAATGATTTTACCAAAACAGAATGGTTTTATATAATTTCCATTGGACAACCAAAAATACCCTAAAGTTTTGAGGTATTTTTTTATTTCTTTTTATTGATTTTTCCTGGATTGTGCACTGCCTTTTTTAAACAATTTGATTGCATTCTCTTAAATGAATCCTCACTTTTTTGTTTTCTTTTCCAGGAAGGATAAATAATAAGCTGACAATGAAATGAACGGTTAGTGAAGTGGAAAAAGTGAGTGAACAAAATACTGAAGCTTCAACTTCAAAATCATCCCATCCACTGCTGAAGAAGAGACGGGGCCCGACACGATGGAAGAATGTCGTAAACGCGACAACCTTATTACCATTAAGGTACATATATATATAGATCATCTTATATAGTTTACATAATTAGACTATATTCAATATGAAGGAGAAAAAAGGGATTTCTATCTTTATTTTTGTACTAAACATCTACAATTGTTAATTTTTGTTTAGGGTTAATAAGTTTGGACAGCCGATCAGCCCTGGAAGTGGTACATATACTAATTATTTGGGAACACTTGCCCGGAATGCTAAATTGGCTCCTTTGTGCTACAAAACTTGGTGGGAGATGCCTAAACGGTTGAAGGAGGATATGTGGAACGTTGTAAAGGTAAAACCCTTCAATCATATTAAAATAATTTTTATGGAAAAAGTGGATTAACATGCAGCAATTATCACATTTTTAGGGAAAGTATGATGTGGGAATCCTGTCAAAACATTGGACAATATCCTCCATCGGAAAAAAATGGAGGGGCTACAAGTGTGAATTAAAAAGTGAATATTACTCGGTTAGGGATACAAATGCAGAAAGATTGGCAAACCCACCACCTGATGTTGAAAAGGAGCATTGGGAATTTTTGGTTAGGCATTGGGGTACACCTATTGCGAAGGTAATCCTCCATCTACCAATTTTGTTTAAAGTCAATGAGTTGAATTTATAATTTACTTGCTTTCAGTCATTATTTTAGGTGGAATGTTAGAACATTTACTTTTTCTCACTTTTTGTAGGAGGTAAGTAAAAAAAACAAAGAACGTTGTGGGAAGCAGACAATGATGCATACTACAGGGACAAAAAGCTTTGCACGTGTTTCTACTGAGGTTAGTTGAAGTTTTGGCAATATAAATTATTTTAGTTCTTATGTCGTTGAATGATTATAAATGTTAGTGGTAAATAATAATATATATTACAATGTCTATGTTTCTTTTATAGATTGAGGAAGATGAAGGTATTCAGCTTTCTCGTGCAGATTTATTCATTCGCACACATGTAAATAAGGATGGCAAAACTACTGATGCTGCTGCTTCAGAGATGATTGTAAGTTTTCATACTTCCATTTTGTAAAAAGGGGGTCATGTGCCTTGAAGTGACCAATTTTTAAACTCTTTGCGGTGTATTAGGGGGTCACATGCCTTGAAGTGACCAATTTTTAAATCATCGGCCCGTGTGGAGGCATTTTAATTTCATTGTTTATCATCGGCCCATGTGGAGACAATTTACTTTCTTGTATTTGTTGAAAAGCATGCGAGTATGTGATCATTGTATGTGGAGGCTTCTTGTTGATTGATTTGTGTTGTGGAGAAGTATTTGCTATTTGTTGTTTGTGTCAATGTGTCAATCATATTCTCCCCAACATGTATTTAATTTCCATTAACACTTGTACTCTATTTGTTCTCTTATCTTTTCTTTGTTTCTAAGTTTTATTGCTTCATCCTTGTTCTACACCTAGTAATTATTGAGAAATTATGGACACAATGTGAAGTTGTTTACATTTTTAGATTTCTGGTTCTGTTGAAGTTGTGTTCAGTTTATTAAATTCTACTATATTGACATTGAGTTCATTTTCTAAAATTCTACTTCTTTTGTATGACCTTGCTGGTGTGTACTATTACTGCTATATTGGGATTGTCATTGAGTTCTTCTTTGAACATCCTGTGCTTGTCCTTGAATATGTTAAACACATCTGTTGAAACCCAAAATTGTTGGTTGAGAACTGATTGATAACTCAAAAATCACAATCAAGTTAGGGTAGGAGGAAAAGAAAATACACTTCACCATTTAATTCTTGGGAAATTAAATCATTCATACAAGATAGAAACACACCAAGGAGACATTCATTGATTTTACGTTTTTTTTCTTCCTTTTGTTGATTTCTTGAGATTCAAGTTTTTGAAGATTTTGTGAAGACCAATAATGGAAAGGGAGATAAAGGGAGGAGAGAAAATTAATAAAGTATGTTCTGATTCTAAAACTCCATTTGGAATCTCAAATCTAATTACAAGATATTGCAATAATAAGAATGGAGGAAAAATTCGGATAGAAAATCAAATGAAAGAAATCAAGATGGAGACTAAAGTGGAATAATAATAATATATCCTTTAATTTGAACCTCAAACACTTCGTTAAGTTTGCCCGGATTCTATGAGTTTAGGTAACAATCATTTGATGTAATGTGGAATCTCAAATCAAATGATTGTTATTACTTATAGTTATAAGTGTTGCTTTGGATATATTTAGGTCAATTTTTGTTTCGTCTTTAGGTGTTAATTTGAATTTCGAAGTTGAATGACACAATTATGAAGAGGTTTTTAAAGTAAAAGGGGAACTAGAAAGGGGAAAGTGATTCACAAATAGAATTTATAGCAGAAATAATTTTCAAAATTTTGATATTAATAAGCTCATTTATGGTCATTTCTTGTAAACTGAAATTAGTTCCGGTGACCACACCTCTTAAGTTCTCGTTCTATTTGTGTGTGTGTCAAGTTCAGAATTTCTGTTTATATATAATTTGGTTGTTATGTTTTGGTGAGAAGGATATGTTCATTGCAAAGAATGCTTAAAAAGGTCATTAGTTGAAGATTAGGAGGAATCTAAGTCACACAGTTCATTTATTCGTTAGTGGGTCTTATTTGACCTTTCTTGTAACTCACATAAAGGCATTCGATTGAAAAAGAGAAAACACATGTAACTAAATCACACGAGGACCTCTCGTTCTTTTCTGTTTTTGATAAGTAAAATATAACGCAAGTGTTGGACTGTTGGAGGGTGAGTAGTGTGGCACAAGTGCCTCTCATTCTTAAAATGTTTGTAAACATGGTGCTGGGGCGCACACGGTTAGGATTGGATTAGTTTTAGGATTAATGGAAACCAATCAGCACTCTACAGTTTCAAGAAATTTGAAACCAAACCGAACCTATCACTCCATCTATTCTGAACCAATCTGAACCGTAAGAGAATGGATTGGATTGGTTCGGTTTGGCAGTTTGGACCTTAATAGAGAACTCATTTTCAGAAAATTCAAGAATTACCTTCTAGCCAAACATAGAGTAGAACTCAAAAGATAGAATGTTTTGCAGATTTGTATCCTAATACTAACAAAATTCAACAAACGACAGAATGTGCAAAAAGATGGGGGTTTCGCATGCTAATAGCCTAATACTAACAAAATTCAACAAAATTTTGACCCTAAAAAACCTCAACCAAAGTTGTTGAAATGCATATATTAGAACTCAAAAATCCAAACTTCATTTGATAAGTCAATTAATAAAAATTAATAAATAGGATTCATTTGAATAAACTAGGATGAGAGGAATGATTGAGTGTGTGTGAGAGATAGAGATTGTGTGTGTGCAACACGATGGTCGATTTTGATGCGACAATGGTTTATGACCGGCCAAAGTGAAGGAGAGAAGTAGCCTTGACGGTTGGTGAGCTCGGCCAAGTGAGCAGTTGAGGGTGACGGAAAAGAAGAGCGGCAGGGAGCAGTCAAGGGGTGCAGCTCTGTTGCTATGAGAAGAATGATTTAGGGCTCGAATCTTTTAGTTAAGAAATTGTTGAATATATATTGGCTTATCAGGTGTAGGCAATTCCATGGTATGTAGTGTAGACAACCATATATATATTTATGTATGATGCACTGATTGGTTTGGATTTTTCTACCCTCAATCTGTGAACTGAACTGATCTAGACTTTTTTTATTTTAAAATTGAACCGAACCGAACCGAACCGAACCGATAATCCTTTAAAACCAAACCAATCCCCATGGATCAGATCGGGTCGGTTTTGTTGTGTTTTTTTTGCACCCCTACATGGTGCTAATGCCTCTGCTGATTTGCTTGCATCCAATGAATTGAGAATTTTAAGGTACAAAGGAAAATACCATAAATGATGTTTCACAGATCAAGGCCGGGATGATGGAGTCGCGAAGGGAGTAATGATAGTAGCACTTATAATTTTGTAAATAATTATAACGTAGTATGAATTATTTATGAATGATATCCAAATAATCTTAAGGAAGTTCCTTATCAAATCCATCTGAGACGACACCTTGTGATTAGCAAGATGGACAATGGGACAGTTAACATAATCTTTCTCGATAGATTTTCCCTACCAACAATTTGTCATTAATGTTGTGGCCAATCAAGAAAGTGAAATTTTTCTTTTTTGGCAGGAAAAAAATAAAAGAACTTCAAAAAAGTTACTCTGACTCGCCTATTGGCAGTTCCAATGATTTGTTCTCCATTGTGAGGGGAGAAGAGAGAACTGGTCGTGTGCGGATGCTTGGCTTCGGGTCTACACCAAGCGATGTTTGGGGGCCCTCTCCTAGTAAAGCTGAACTGATTAATAATGCGAAAAAATCTGATGAGAAGGCACGTGCTGTACGCGTAGAGTTGCAGGAGACCATTTCAAAAATGCAAGCTGACTATGACAACAAGTTGGAAAATTTACGAGCCAACTATGATGACAAGTTGGAAAATTTACAACAACAGGTGGCTATGCTAATGTAGATGCAACAACAAAATTGTAGTGGACAGGTATATTTATTATTAGTTTTATTCTTTACTAAATATATGTTTACTTGTGCCAAGATTTTATGTATTTTGTTTTCTTATTTTGAAGGGTTCTGATTTGTTAAATGCTTCTCCTAGAATATCCCCAAATTCATTATCTAGTCATGATGCCAATTCAGTTAAGGTTATGAAATTTTAATTTCTCTTATATATATGTTAAATTTTCATTTATTATAATGTGTGCGTAATGAATTTATAAAAAATGTAGGGTAATTCAAATCAAATGGGCAAGAAGACTTGTTGAAGTTGAAGATATGGTCATGGCTGTGTTTTTTGAATTTTTTTCGCCTTGGATGGGTTCTTTTTGAAAAACTTCTACTACATTTGTCAAAAATTGTTAATAATTTTTGTCTGACATTGAGTAGCTTTATTTAGACAATTTGGATGGTATATTGGCAAGTTAACTTGTGGTTGTATTAGTATACATTTTTGCTTTTTGGTTGACATTTACCAGTTTAACTTGTGGTTGTATTAGTAGCCAATTTTGATGGTAATTTTCATATTGGCAGGGTTAACTTGTGGTTGTATTATGTAAAAACAATTTGGATGGTATTTTTATATTAACTTGTGTTATATTGGATGACATTTAGTAGTTGGTAGTATTGATATGTTTTTTCCAAAAATACATTCAGGACTAAGCATAACCCTGCTTTGGTTAGCATGGTTCATCCACCTAAACTAGATTGTGGTATGAATCATCTTCCCTAGGCATAGGTCCTTCAATAGTATGTTATAGTACATGAAATCAATTAAATATCATAGATTAACTTCAGTTGGTATGAACCATCTGCCTAACTACATTAATCTAAGGGTGTAGCATGGTCCATCTTCCTTAGGTATAACCTATATAAATGCTCAATTTCATGCCAATATAACCATTCCATAAATTTTTTCCCATTGTCACTACAGGAAATCAAGTGTAATATTTGTATCAATATGATTTCTAAGACAAGATAACAAATGAACACAAATATATATTCATACGATAAACACATACATCAATTCAATGTAAAAAACAACAAGTCAATGTAAATACTTCTAATTTATGAAACTGAATATATACAATAAGAATCCCCAAATTGATATACAAAT